TATGTAATTTTACTATTAAAATTAAAAAAATTTTAAAATATATATACTTAAAAAAATAAAAATATATATATATACTTAAAATTAAAAAAATATAAAAAATATATATATCTACTCGAACTCGCGAGCCGGCTCGCGAGCTAACGAATTTAATATTTTGAACTCGAGTTCGAGCTCGAACTCGACTCGAGCCAGTTCGAACTCGACTCGAGCTGCTCACGAGCGGCTCGATTCGTTTGCAGCCCTACCCCTCCACTAGCTCTAAACTCAGAGCTTACCGGTAAATTCTTGCTCCATGCTTCTTGTTTTCTCTACCCCCTCCCAGGCACCAAAAAATAGTGAAAGCTGCAGATAACCCTACTTCCATATCTATATTCCCGTCTCAAGAATCACATAATCGCAGAATGCAAAATCTCCCAATCAATTTACCAATTCTCTGCGTCTGATTATTCACAATTTTCTCCTGACCATCGAATTCTTTAGGTAGATTAAACTAATTCTTCAATTTTCTCACTAGAGTTTAAGAGAATTTTCTGTTAATTTCTGTGATTTCTCATCTTTCTTTGCAAAAAAAAAGATTGATCTTAGTTTATTTTTTCCGTCTAATTTGAAATTCATTAGAAGGTAGATTTTAATTCGAATTTTTCAATCCTTAACTTAAATGGTGGTAGAAAAAGCTGTCTATTATTTATGATTGGGGATTTAGATTGGTATTTTTGATCGTTAATTTAGATTGTTGCTGAATCTAATGTGAAATTGGGGCATTATGACTTATTACCTTTCTTAATATTGCTTTTTAAGTCAACCTTGTGAGGAATTGTGAACTCAATTGGCACTTTGTAGTAGAGGAACTCTCGATTTATGTTGAGTCTTGCTAATCCGTTACAGTAAATCTTCATGCTGTTCGGTCACAGAGCTCGCTGCCCGAGCCCTTTTGTGATAGGGTATGAGTTCGCATACACAGGGCATGGACAATTGGCAGGTATTATATCCCATCATATTCTTCTTGTCTAATTTAGGGTATGTTTGATAAAACAATGCTGCAATCGACTCAGAGCTCAACTCGAGCTTGATCAACACTGAGCTCGAGCTGAGCATTAATATATACGAGTCGAATTGAGCAATCATTTGTTAGGTTCAATTGTTTGACGAGCCGCTCGAAAAGCTTAAGTTGATGTGAAATTATAAAAATACCCCTATATCAATTAAAATCGGGCTAATTTCAAGCTCCTTGCGAGCCAGAATGTTGAGTGAAACTCGACCTGATATCTCGAGCTACTCATGAACCAAAAATTGAGCCAAACTCACGAACCAGAAACGAGTCAAACTCAAACTTTCCTTTCCTAAGTCAAGTCAAACTCGAGCTTCATTTCTTTGGCTCGACGAGCTAGTACATTAACAAATCCAACTCGGTTCGATAAGTTCAAAACTCAACTAGACTCGACTCGTTTGTAACCCTAGATAAAACTAAAATCTAAAAACTAAAATTTGAAATCTGAATTTATTAAGTTATTAAATTGTTAAGTAGTTACTGTAATACATTTGAATTTATATCATATTAAGTAATAAGTGAATAATTTATCACTTAGTTTTGGAGGCAAGTTTTGCTTAGAAAATTCACTACCAGTTAATTAATTCAGATATTTGTTTTTGGTTATCAAATGCTTCTAAACATATTAAGATCTGAACCCATCAAATTTAAGTGTTGAATTGGATTATCAAACAAGGCTTTAGTTTAGTTGTATCCTATTTTTATTTCCTAAAATTTCATTCTATAAAATGTTTTCTTGATTAGCTTCAGGTAATTAGTAGTAATATATGTGGTACCATTTCATTTTAACTTAAAAGGAAATGTACATGTACTGTATAACATTTTATTTTAGAACTATTTAATGTCTTTTATAATGTTCATGATGATAAAATGGTTTCAAGATGCGGTTTAACTTTACTAGCAATGGTGACAGTGAATTATTTGTCAAAATTTATTTGCTTGCGTCATCAACATATTTTTTAACCACTTTTTTTTTATCTCACATACATTTTATATCCAAAAAGTGCTACAGTAATTTTTTCAAAAAAGTATCCTAATTAATCTACTATTTGAACCCATTGTTATTACCTAATAACATGAGGACTCGAGAGCTAAATGTAGTGAGTATTTGTTTTGCTTTAAGATTCATACACGAGGATCTGTTTTGGGATAATTGACTCAACTATTTAGCCTTTTTTTAGTTTCTTTTTAATGAATGTACAGAAGTTAAGGTTTATGGATGACCTTTGCTGCAATTACTTTGCCTTTTTTTAAGTTTTTTCTTGTTGAAACTAAAACCTTAGATTCTGTAATTTCTTTTTTTTTTTAAGTTTTTCCTTATTGAAACTAAAACTTTAGATTCTGTAGATTTCATATGTGTGATTTAGGGTTTGAGACTTTGAATTTGGGAACTGAGGAATTAGTTGCACTTGCATGGTAAATTCTGTAGTGTAATCGGATATTTGAAGACAGGTGTGGAAAGTAAAGCATATGGCAAAGAAGGTGGCACGTTGCAACCTGACATGTATGGACCAAGAAGGGAATATTTGTACAAAAGCAAGTGGAGACCTATAACCAGGGTTTGGAAATATTGTGTACTGCATAAGCTCAAAATGTGTTGGGGTGTCACGGAATTAACATAAATATAAAGGGTCTAAGAATAAAACATTTGTGAGGAAGCGTAAGCAATACTAATTACTAAACAAAGCCATCGTGGGGCCACCAAAGAGGAAGCGTATTACGTACTAAAGGGAAACTAGTAAATTTTATATTTAACAAATTTTAAATATGTGAAAGTAAAAAATTTTTGCCCATAACATACCAACTCTTTATGAGTTTTTTGCATTACATCAACAAAATACTAACTATTTATGGGTATTTTACTCTGAATCATTACATTTATGTAAAATACAGATATGTTTGTAACTAAAATTGAAAAAGTATTATACTTATACTTTTACGAAAGGAAAACCAGTAGATTTTGCATTTAACAAATTTTAAATATTTGAAAGTAAAAAAGATTGTGCCCCTAATATACCAGCTCTTTATGGATTTTTTTGCATTACATCAACAAAATACTAGCTATTTATGGGCATTTTACTTTGAATCACTACATTTACATAAAATACATAAATGTTTGTAACTAAAATTGAAAAGTAATATACTTATATTTTTACAAAAGAGAAACTGGTAAAATTTGTATTTAACATAAATTAAATATGTTAAAGCAATATTAAAGGTGATTTTATTAGTTACTTAATTTGTTGGTAAGAAACAAGGTTTCTTTTGTAAAATTTGTTCATTAGATTTTTTTTCAAATAATTAGGATATAAAGGTAAATTTTCACAATCTTTTGTTAGCAATAGATCCCAATTTCCTCCTACGCAGTGACGAAACCAAGATTTTTTCCTTGAAGGGAGGGCCAAAATGATTGATAAATAAAATTATTTTAATATGTTATGTTCAAAATAATTTTCATCTATTTAAATATATGGCATCCTAAAATATCAAATATTAACTTTAATTATAAAGGTATGTCTATTTAATAAATATGTAGTATAGTCATAACTAAAATTAAGACAAGAAATAACATTTGATTAAATATCTTATACGAAAAAATGCACTTTTCATCCTCAAAGTTTAGGTGGTTGGCCAATTTCATCCTCAAAGTTTGGGTGGTAGGCCAATTTCATCCTCAAAGTTTCACCCCAAACATATTGCATCCTCAAAGTTTCGTAATTTTGGCCAATTAAGGACAATTGACGGGAAATGAAGAATTAATCGTTAGAACCAACGATTTTACCCAACAAAAAATGGGTAAAACCGAATAGAGCCATTTTTAATGGAACAATTGCAACGGACAAAAAACTCAATTATTCTCCTTCTTCGCTCTGCCTTTCTGTAACCCCAAAATTTTTTTGCCAATCTTTGAAATTTTAACAACCATTATATAATTTTCAAAACAAATAAATTCATTCTAAATTTTTATTTGGGATTATTTCATAAACCAAATCGCGGTCACTTTGTGTAAAGTATCACTTTTCCAAAAAAGACCAGCTCTTTATGGCTTTCCTCCATTATAAGAACAGAGTACCCATTTTTTCATAACTAAATTTATTTATCGAATAAAATAAAAATAAATCCATTTTCTAATAAAAAAATCAACTCTTTATGGCTTTCCTATATTATAAGAACAGAGTACCCATTTTTTCATAACTAAATTTATTTATCGAATAAAATAAAAATAAATCCATTTTCTAATAAAAGACCAGCTCTTTATAGCTTTTCTCCATTATAAGAACAGAGTACCAATTTTCTCATAAATAAATTTATTTATCAGATAAAATAAAAATAAATCTATTTTTCAATAAAAGACCAGCCCTTTATGGCTTTCCTCCATTATAAGAACAGAGTACCCATTTTTTCATAAACAAATTTATTTTTCGAATAAAATAAAAATAAACCCGTTTTTTAATAAAAGACCGGCTCTTTAGGACTTTCCTCCATTTTAGGAACAGAGTACCCATTTTTCCATAAATAAATTTATTTATCAGATAAAATAAAAATAAACCCATTTTTTCAATAAAACACCAGTTCTTTATGACTTTCCTCCATTATAAGAACAGAGTACCCATTTTGAAGGCAAAAAGGAATTTGTTTATCGGATAAAATAAAAATAAACTTATTTTTCAATAAAGCATCAACTCTTTATGACTTTTCTCCATTATAAGAAAAGAGTGCCCATTTTGTCATAAACAAGTAACTTCTTTAATTAGAAACCATCGACCCCTTACCAAAGACGATCAAATGCAGCTAGATGATTTTTTTGCAAGAAAGTTGCCAAAAGCAGCTTTGTGACTGTAGTTGCTACTTTTTTTTTCAACCATTTTTTTAGCAAGAGGTATCATTAATGTCAATATTGAGATATAGCAAAAATTTTATATGAAATAACAAACCAATTTGTCATTACAAATACAAAACGAGCAACAATATATTACAACCAATACTATCAACAGTACAAAGCACAAAGATACTCAAATCAAATCCTAATTAGGCTTTAATATGTACAACCAAAATTGTCAGGGATAACAAATGCTAAGATAGACCCTGTGCCGATATACAATGAGTATCATGTTTGCATTAATTGGCGAAGTCCATAATCGAAGTAGCTTGTAAGAGCTTCATAGCCAGGTTTACTACAATCCACCATCAACCTACAGAGTCCAATGGAGAAAAAATTATTAAACAGAAATTTACATTGGTAGTTAGATAAATTAAACTTGCATTAGCCTACATATATCAAAGACGTTATGTTTTAATTGCTTTAAAAGATTCACTCACTTAGAGTTCAAGTCAACATTCATTTATTATTTTAGTAAATGAAAAATTAGCCTTTGGTTCCCCATGTGTGAGTTAACACAAGGAACCTCCTCCATAGTCGCGGGTTGCTTACAGCTTCCATCAATTCTTGTATTTCTTCTTCTGAAAGCTTGAATCCCAACCTAGATAGCCCAGTTTTGAGCTCTTCATAAGTAATGGTACCACTTCTATCCATGTCCATGTTGTTGAACATTTGTCTCAACCCCTTGATTTCTTCTTCTGAAAGGTTTTCTGCAACAACCTTCCAGTAATTTCATGTTTCAGCTATCAATAACTCTAGAAAGAGGAATCATAAAGCAAATGTAGAAGGGAAAGTACTCTTATGAATGACTGTCAAATGTATTCACTAGTTCATTATGGAAACTGCGCTGTCCAAAGAAATTTACATATCGATTCATTACCTTTAAAGCCAGCTTTTTCAGCTTGTTCATTGCTCTAAATTGCTTCATCCTTATTTGCACAACACTGTCAATAGGCGTATCTGATGCTTCACCACCTTCCTTGAGCCATTGATGTTCTGGTTCATATATGTTTAGCCAAATTTAGATGATGATCTGAATTATAGGTATGCAATTATTTGGAGGATGTAAACATTATATACTATTTTCTTTCCAAGAAGCGCAATACAGACAATGTTAACTACTGCCACTACATGGAGTGTTATACTCCATACGCTATTTACTCTCTGTACAATATATAATAGTTTCTTTACAGCAACAGGTAAATAGAGCCAAATGACTTGAGAAGGACAAAAAATAATAATATTGAAGGTCAAAAGTTTTTACTATTTACCAAGGGCTTCGGCAGCAGTGATCCTTTTCCGAGGATCCATTGTTAACATTTTCGTAACAAGATCCTTTGCACCAGACGATATTGAAGGCCAGGGAGAGCTTTGGAAATCAAGGCGCCCCGCTAGGATATCATAAAAAATGCCTTTGTCGTTCTCTGAAGCACAAGCCAATATCACTCAGTATAGCAACTTAAAAGCTAAATAGCAAAAATTAATTCCAGGTGCTAGAATTTAATTCATTCTTCATTGCAGCGTAAGAGAATTAGGGGGTTTGGGACAACAAAAGAGGGTTTGGGACAACAAAAGGGGACAATTAGGGCTGGGCAACGAGAGGTACGGAGGAATGAAAATGAGAGTGGTAAAGAGACGAGATTGAACAATACAACAAAGCAGGGAAAAAATCAAATCGTGGAAGGAAGAATTCTAGTATGAAAATATGTTGGAGACTACCTGAAATCTTAGATCTGAAATTTTGACTGGCCGTTTTCATTTTGCCTTCCAGTAAGACCCCCTTCTCTACTCCAACTGAGATGCCCATTCACTCTAATCCACTGAGGTAGAAGCCTACAATTTTAAAAAGTTTATCTTGCGATTGTTAAATTGACCAAAAATACAAGAAACAAGCAATTGACAAAACAGAGATAAAAATAACATATCTGCTTAAAAAACCTGCACCATCGCTTTTCCTTGAAGTCTGCCATTGCATCGAAAGGGTCTTTAAAGTGTGTCCATGATTGTATAAATTCAGATCTGGATGCTAGAGAGGAAGAGAGGAACCATATGTCTACGGGAAACTGAAAATTGATAGAGAGGGAAAGAGAGATAAAAGGAGAAAGGTGTAGGGGAGGTTGCAATTGAACTTTCGAGGGCTCTGATCTGAGAACAATATTTGGAAAAATAGCCTTGCAAGTATGGAAGACTTGGAATTCATGTGGTGCTACGCTTGACAAGTGCTGTGCCAGGAATGGTTAAAAAATTTTCAATGCGCGGCTCTGCTAAAAATTGGAAATGAGCAAAATTTTGAAATTTTCACAAAAAAAAACACCCATGATTTCTCACCAATAACATAGAAACTTTGGCCCACTAGAATCAGTATTTGGAGGGAAGCTTTCCCGCACTTCTTTTGGCGAGAATTTTAACCGAAAAAAATCCTTGCCCTCGCAGAGTATATGATGGCTCTAATTTTTGGTGAAGTATTGTTCTTTTCCTTGCTATAAGCCTCTTAATAGCGTCAACCTTTCTACTTCTTGCTAAAGTTGTTGTCGCTAATACCCTTTTTTGTTGCAGTGAACGGAGGAAAACTATAAAGAATTGGTGTTTTATTGAAAAATATATTTATTTTTTCATCCAATAAATAAATTTATTTATGAAAAATGGGTACTTTGTACTTATAATAGAGGAAAACTATAAAGAGTTGGTGTTTTATTGAAAAAACAGGTTCATTTTTATTTTATTCGATAAATAATATTTTTTTAGAAAAATGGATACTATATTCTTATAATGGAGGAAAGTCATAAAGAACTAGTTTTTTATTGAAAAAAGAGTTTATTTTTATTTTATTTGATAAAAAAATTTGTTTATGGCAAAATGAATACTCTTTTCTTATAAGGGAAGAAAGCCATAAAGGGCTGATGTTTTATTGAGAAACGGGCTTATTTTTATTTTTTCGATAAATAAATTTTTTTATTCGATAAATAAATTTGTTTATGGCAAAATGGGTGCACAGTTCTTATAATAGAGGAAAGGCATAAAGAGTTAGAATTTTATTGAAAAACGGGTTTATTTTTATTTTATCCGATAAATAATTTTTTTTAGGAAAATGGGTACTTTGTTCTTATAATGGAGGAAAGCGATAAAAAATTAATTTTTTATTGGAAAACGGGTTTATTACAATTTTATTCCAGCCAGCTGCGACCCATTTTCCCACTAACCTAAGGTAGACGGACTAAATCATTGAGTTCGTTAACCACAGTCAAAATTAACACAGAAGCAACTGACTCAAATCACTCAATCCTTTATGACTTATACCAAATTAATACTAGAAAGCTTATTTGAAATAACAATAAAATATTTTATAAATGATTAAAACTTAGCACATTAGTTAGTAAGTACTCGTAACATACTTGTATAATGCATGATTAAATGTATAATTTAATATTCTTTTGTACTTATATATTTTAAAATATTCTGTGAAAAATATTTTGACCTTTCACATGACCTTAGAAAATAATAAAATTTTATCGTATTATAAAATAATAATTTTATTTTATTATATTCATAGGTGTTAAATTATAAAAATTGTGATATAGAAACAAGTGATATTCTACGTGTAACTAGGAAGATTTGTTGTTATTGTTATCCAAACTTTCAAACTTTTCAAAAATTGAAAATGAATACAAACTTATGATAAGACAAAATTTTATTATATATTTTACAAGGTTACTTTTCATAGTATTTTAAAATATATAAATACAAAAAATATTAAATTATACCTATAATCATTTATTATACAGGTATATTATGAGTACTTACTAACTAAGATTTATCCCCACATTTGTATAGTTTGTTGTGACAATCAGGTTTATCCCCACATTTGTTTGAGTTTTGATTACAATGGATATAAGCTATTCCCTCCAAACCCCAAATTTTGAATTATAACATTCAACCAAAACATGCTCAAACTCTCAGGCTCGGTCGTACAAGGACAGCTAGTGTGAATATCCGTGCTACATACGGTGCTTACATTATTAAAATAAATCAAAAGATTATACCATTTTAATTTGAAAAAAGTTTAAAAAATTATACCAGCATAAATAAAATTTAAGATTTGTCTAACAATAGTTCAAAGTATGAAAAAAACTGTAAATCATTCAAGAATTGTGTTTTTGCAAAAGATGGATCGTAAAATAATAATAATAATTTATATTAGAAAATGAATGATATATGGATAGAAATAAATGTAATTGCATGTTTTTTTTATTTTAAAATGAAATACTTACCAATATTATGCATTCGATTTGATAATCTTATATATATATGCATTATGAGAATATATATATATATGTATATGTGTGTGTGTGTGAATTAACTACCTTTGAATTAATTTTTATTAAAAAAATTATTTATTTTTAATGCCTTTATAATTTGTGAATGAATGTGAGAGTAAAATATATTATGGCAATAAGATACGTTGAATTGTGAAAATTGTAATTTAAACAGGCTCCTAAATTTTGGATATTTGACTTTCGTAGTTGTGAATTTCTTAAATTAACGGTTAGTTATTACTCTAAGTGATATGATAAGTGTCAGTAATAAATGTGAGATGTGAATTGGAATTTGCAGATATCATTTTACAGGGGTGGTTATTATCCGTTAGTTAAAGTTTAGGAGTTTGAATTTTATGGGGTAGTGGAAAAAACATGAGGGAAATGTGGAAAAAATATAAGCATGATTATAGGATTTGTAGGGCCGGTTACATGATTAGTTAAGAGATAAATATTTTTTAATTATAAAAATATAAAATTCTATTAAAATAGCATTCAGACTTTTGATAATTTTGGAAGCTCCTTATCCAAAACCCCCTCAGCAATACATATAGATATAGATACTAAACAATAGTTATGATAGCGAAATAGTTTTTACCTGATATAACATGTTGTTGCACTTTTAGCGATCATTTGATTTATTGTTGGACCTATTCACCTAAATAAAATAACACCTAAAATTATGGAAGTAAGTTTCCTATCCAAAATAGTAAGTTAAGTGTAATAGATTAGTAACTTTTATACCTCAAAAGGTAAATTGGAATAAATATTAAACTTAATTTTTAAATAAATAGATTACTACTTGATATCCCAAACTTACTTTTAAAAGAGTAAGTTTAGTTCAAATAACAGTAAGTTTTTATACATAAATAGTAATTCTTACTAATAACATGGCAATAAAAATGATTAAGGATCAAAATTTACCATTTTTTGGAATGCATGTACAATTTTTACATTAAAACCTTATCTCAAAGTAGTATTAGGAAGTTTATTTGAAATAATGATAAAATATTTTTATTAATGATTAAAACTTAGTACCTTAGTTAGTAAGCACTCATAATATACCTTAGTAAGTTTAATTCAAGTAATAGTAAGTTTTTATACATAAATAGTAATTATTACTGATAACATGGCAAATTTGATTAATAATCAAGATTTATTGATTTATGGGACGCATGTACTATTTTACTTTAAAACTTATCTCAAACTAGTATTAGGAAGTTTATTTGAAATAACGATAAGATGTTTTATCAATGATTAACGCTTAGTACCTTAGTTAGTAAGTACTCGTAATATACTCGTATAATACATGATTATAGGTATAATTTAAAATTTTTTGTACTTATATATTTTAAAATACTATGAAAAATAGTATGAACTAAACCTACTCTCCAAAAAGTAAATTTCGGACATGCAGTAGTAATTTATTTTTAAAAAATTTAAGTTGCATATTTATTTCAATTTACGCTTGAACATACATCGATCGGTGCTCTCTGGATGCGTCCAAACTCCAGTGAATGTCTTTAAACTAAATTCTAATCAAAGTAGTATCCAAAATGTAATGATTCAGAGTAAAATGCCCATAAAACTTAGTACAAGGACAGCTAGTGTGACTATCCGTGCTATCCAAAATATTTATGTATTTTACATAAATGTAATGATTCAGAGTAAAATGCCCATAAATAGATAGTATTTTGTTGATGTAATGCTCATAATCCGTGGCCCCAGGATGGCTTTGTTTAGTAATTAGTACTGCTTACGCTTCCTCACAAATGTTTTATTCTTAGACCCTTTATATTTATGTTAATTCCGTGACATCCCAACACATTTTTAGCTTCTGCAGTACGCAATATTTCTAAACCCCGGTTATAGGTCACCACTTGCTTTTGTAGAAATATTCCCTTCTTGATCCGTACATGTCAGGATGCAACGTGCCGCCTTCTTTGCCATATGCTTTACTTTCCACACCTCTTCTTTGACTACTAAACATACCGCAGCAACATCCGCACTTGCATATTTAGGTGATCACAGCCGGTGATCCCACCTTTGATGTGATTTTTATACTACTATATTTTATTTTTTTTTTCAATTTTCTCCTTTTTTCTTTTGCCATGTCATCATATTAGCCATGTTCCATAGGGTTTTTTAAAATTTTTAATTTTAAAAATTAAAGTTTTTTTGGTATTTTAAAATTTTTTAAAAATTATCCCTAATGCTCCCGCTTCCCTCTCCCATCCCATCTCCTACCCCTCCACCGCTACCTGTATTTGTCCTCCTCCTCTTTTTTCCGCTTCCTTTCCCTCTCCCATCTTCCCCTGACCCTCTCCGGCTCCTTGGTACCTCCCACCCCTCCCCTTCTTCCCCAACTCCCACTTTACCATTTGCTTCATCCCTCTCCCTTGCTCATCCATCTCCCTTCCTCCTTCCTTCTCCTCTTCTTTCTTTCCCTCTCTCGGAGGGGCAGGTGGGATGGGAGAGGGAAGGGGAGAGGAAAGGATCGGGAAAAGGTTAAGGGGTAGCAATGGGAAGAAGGGTTTGAA